AATGAGAGAAAAATACTCTTTCATACCCAAGGATGTAAGATAGGGAAATTCCACTTTTGGTATTTTCAAATTTGGCAAAACCCCTCGGGTTTTACCAAATTTGAAAACCCCTCGGGTGGAATTTCCCTATCCCATACCATTACGGTTGCACTGGAAATTATATTTATTTATATAAAACTACTTTATATGAAAACTACAAAAGGTATAGGTTAGAATACCTTTCAAAGATCTTAAAGTCTATGGATCAGGAAAGATAACTCTAGGTCGACATATTCACGCATAATTATACTGCAATGTTCCTTTAAACAACCCTATGCCATTTTGTTCCCATTAGTACATTAGTACTACCAGTACTTGTCACGCTGTAATAATGCTGAAGGAAGTTGTGGCCATACTAATGCTTTGACTGGATAACGTAGCACATCGATCGTATTATGAATAGAGTAAAGACCTAAATAAAATTCAAGCAATATAAGGTACTCTACTTACCTTAAGTGATCAGCTATTACACACGCGCCTTCGGGTACAAATGTAAATAATACACTAAATTTGAAATAAGTCCGAACAACTTTCCGGAAAAAAACAACAATACAGGCAAAAGTAACACGGTGAGTTAAAAATAGATAGTGTATATAAGTAAGTGAAATCCCAAATAAATGCCTGTTTTATGGTGGGTTTTTTGTGTGTGTGTGTGTGTGTGTGTGTGTGTGTGTGTGTGAGTGGGTGTGTGTGTGTGTGTTCATGTTTATATAATGTTACAGCAGCTTCTAGGTGTCTCGGAGCCTAAATAATATTACACTAGGTGCAGCAAAGCAGGTCTAAGCCAATCAAATTGCAGAACAGTAACTGTTGTAAGTCATATCCTGCAGTAATAATAAATATAACTGTCTTGCTAAATAATGAAGCACTCATAACATTATTATACTTGGGTAACTACAAGATACTGCAGTAAATCAAGGTATTTAGAGAAAGATTAATGTTCGCGGTCTTATTTGAGAAACTGGTTAGCGTATTTTAATCTCCCGGTAGTAAAAATTCGATGTGTATTAAGTATTGGTGAATAAAAACCATATTACAGAGTTCCTGAAATACAGTGCATGCAGAGATAACATTATTTCTTTCGCGTCGTTTTATTACGTTTCGTCACATATATAATATATATATATGGGCAAAGAAGTAATAACGACAGTGCAGACAAAGACATTTTTCAAATTTTCAGGGCGATCTGCCTCTTTATCAGGACAGGAAAATGACAATTTACATATCACAGCATGGCCCAGAGAAAAACAATCACACTGAGACAATAACATATTACAAAATACATAAACAAACAGAAGTTACAAATTAAATATGCCGTTGTAATTGCATATCCCCTCAACGCAGCTTTTAGCAGGATACTTCATTCATTCATATCTTTATTCCTCCATAATTGAAGAGCTTCATGTATATATATGCATAATGAATAAATAGTGAGTTAGAACAGAAAAACGTTCACAAAAGAAATCAATATGACCAAAAAAGTAGAATTAATTCATTGACAGTAAATGTGCTGCATATAAAGTTACTCGAGGAAAAGAGGGATAACAAAAAATAAAATAAAATATCAAAAAGATGCCACATTACGAAACATTATAGCTTTTTAACAGCAAATAAGCATATGATATGTTCAGGATTGCAGCAAACATTATTGAAATGTTAAATCTGACACTTTGATAATAAACGAAAAACAGTCCAATCTAAACGATATTAGGTCTTTTTCTTTAGTAAACAACTCTTGCAGTTCTAAAGGGCAAAGTAGTAATAAAACAATCACGTTATAAAGTGTCAACATATACATATACAGCAACTGGATAATGATTCACAAATTTAGTAAGAAAAACATCCCGTAGATCTACAATATCGGGATGGCGACAGGCAGGGAAATTCTATCTCCTCCCCAAGATCCACAAAGCTAGTAATCCTGGTAGACCTATCATCTACTCGACCATCCCACATATTTTTTTTTCTTAAAGTTCATTGACTTCCACCTGAGGCCCCATGCAGAAAAACTTCCATCCTACTTAAAAGACACTACAGACTATATCAACAAGACACCATTTAGTAATCTACCTGATGATACATTCTTGGTATCCATGGATGTTGTAACCCTCTACACCAATATCCCACACGAGGACGGCATCTTAGCATGCCCTGCTGCGTGGAACACACGGGATACCAAACATCCTTCTACAGACAGTCTGGTAGAACGTTTGAGGCCTGTTCTCACGTTGAACAATTCCACATTCAATGGGTAAACACTACTTGCAGGTCATTGGTACGGTCATGGGCACCATCATCCGCCAACGTGTTTATGGGACACTTGGATTTCAGGCTACTTGCAGCTTCCCCCTCGAAACCACTCAGCTGGCTAAGATTCATTGATGACATCGAGATTAAGTGGACACTCGTATCCGGTTGGGATTCCATTGAGGAGTTCATTAGTTTTGCGAACGAGTTTCACAGGACACACAAGTTTTCAGCTCGGAAGAAAACAACACCTTTCTGGACACGTGATCCACACTCACTAAGGGAGAAATAAGCACAGATCTATATTGCAAACCTACTGACACCCATCAGTACCTCCTATCCTCCAGTTGTTACCAACCACATACAACAAAAAGTATCCCATAATCCCGAGCGCTGAGAAGAAGACGCATTGTCTCAGATGATGCGGTATTCTCAGAGCGCTGTGCGGATCTTATGTCCCATCTACGATGCAGGGGATACACAGCAACTCTAATAGATCACGAAATCGACAGAGTCAAGCAAATGGTGAGGGCGGGTTTAATTTCATTTTCAAATATACATGTACTACACATGCCAATCCCCTCTTTGTCAAACATCCAAGTTGAAAATGCTTAAGGCATACTTCGAATGATTATTCAATACTTTCGTGTATATCATTTAATGAGAAACACAGCCATGTCCAAAAGAAAGCATACTACTTTCATTCTTAACATTATTAAGTATGTACTCTTTTGTAAACTGTACCCTATTCCTATTGCGTTTACTAATTATGTTGTAAACTTATTTTGCCTTACCGTCTCTTTGAATTTGCATTGCTTATCTTATTTATCATTGTAACTACACTATTCTGTTTGTAAAATCTTCTTAATGGTGGAATTAAGAGAATAATGATAATAATAATACTGTGTCGACATTGCACGCTTGTCTTAAGATAAAATGTTTCTTCTATTGAAATAAAAACGAGTCATCGACAGCATCCTCGACCGGAGCTATTCATTCAACCAACCCGACCCCCCACTTAAAATCGGAACTTTTATATGCAATTTGAATGTAAAGCACTTGTACAATATTTTATTAAAATGGTACATAGCAAGATTTACGTAGACAATAATTAAGCATGAAGGCCGAGGTCTTCATAAAAATAGTTCACCGGATTTAAAACACGTCAATCTCGTTTGATAACTAATGCAACTGAATGCAACAAAATGACATTATCTGAATTTCATAACTTACATGTACCTAGTAGGTCACGCGGAGCTTAATTTATCCTTATATTCAGGGAGACATCTATAACGGGAGGATGGATTGAGACGTTACGCCAATACTGTAGTTTATGTTTCATGACGTCAGTGTTTATAGATCGTAGGGCCTATTTATGTCATTTTAACTGTTTTTTTCACTGGATTGACACGATTTGGACAAGCTAACAAGGCGTTCAATCCAGTAATGTTATTTTGGCAAATGCCTAAATTTCATAACATCGGTATGATCAGTTAGGTTAGGAGATGCAGACAGCCATTTGGGGTTGTTCCAACATACCAGTCGACCAGGACAAAAATAACGCAGCGACTTTTATTAGAGACTTTATTTCACTTCAGTTAGAAAATAGACATAGAAGTTATCATATTTAAAATAATAAACCATCCATCAATTTCAATTCAGGCACTTGAAAGCACTTGTACTTGTCTAAAGCGAATAGAGGCATCGTGTTGGCAGTACTATACTTACCAAGTCGGGCAATACGTGCGACACTGTACATAATATCGCAACATGACCTTAGGAAATATAAAAAAATATTGGATGTTTCCAAAACAAACAATTAATAACAATGGCATCATTGTCAGCAGAACAATGGTACGATGATGCGTATAATAGTTTGTACCTAATATAGTTTACTGATTGAAAAATAGGCGATGTATAGTAGTAAATAGTGACAAAAGGAAAATTGTAAAATATTGAGTTTAACAATTTTGTATAATATTAAAACATCTGGTTCCGTAAAAAGACATCAAAAATTTAAAACATATTAAAAATGATATTTGCTACATTGCATGACAAAGACATATACCATCAATATAACACTATGAACGACAGAGTGAACACTTGTGGCGTGCCATCCTCAATATCCACGGGTTACGCTCACTTTCGCTCTCTGCACCCATGGAATCATCTTCGATATCCACGGGTTACGCTCACTTTCGCTCTCTGCACCCCTAGAATCTTCCTCGATATCCACGGGTTACGCTCACTTTCGCTCTCTTCACCCCTGGATCCACGGGTTACGCTCACTTTCTCTCTCTGCACCCCTGGAATCATCCTCAATATCCACGCGTTACGCTCACTTTCTCTCTCTGCACCCCTGGAATCATCCTCGATATCCACGGGTTACGCTCACTTTCGCTCTCTGCACCCCTAGAATCTTCCTTGATATCCACGAGTTACGCTCACTTTCGCTCTCTGCACCACTGGAATCATCCTCGATAACCAAGGATTACGCTCACTTTCGCTCTCTGCACCCTTGGACTCATCCTCGATATCCACGGGTTACGCTCACTTTCTCTCTCTGGACCCTTGGAATCATCCTCGATATCCAAGGGTTACGCTCACTTTCTCTCTCTGCACCCCTGGAATCATCCTCGATATTCACGGGTTATGCTCACGTTCGCTCTCTGCACCCCTAGAATCTTCCTTGATATCCACGAGTTACGCTCACTTTCGCTCTCTGCACCCCTGGAATCATCCTCGATATCCACGGGTAACGTTCACTTTCGCTCTCTGCACCCCTGGAATAAGTCATAGCAAAGCTGAAGTCTCAATGTGCACCACCTTGTTGTTGAGACAAGAAGTCTACTTGGGTCCTTTGATGTAAATCAAAAGATCCCGCGGTCGCGTAATGGTAAAAAATGACAGGCTTTGAAGTCGGGCGTCGCTCCTTTGTAATCTTCAAAGGATAAGTATCGGTCTTATGATTGTTCAGTTTCTTTTATTACCTGACACCAATCAAATAGCTAGCCGCATGCCTTCATTTTTGCTATGACTTATTCCAGGGGTGTAGAGGGTGAAAGTGAGCGTCACTCCTGGTTATCGAGGATGGTGGCGTGTCTAACATAACAACTTCTCTGCTTACAGCTATATGTTACAAGATGTTCCGTGTGAATATAAATCATCACATTTTTACCTTATATTACGAACCCCTTTTAAAGCATCGATCAGGCCGATACAAATGTTTTATTATTTTTTTCCATACAATACCTACGATCTATTCATTCGACAAATTTTTATATAACCATTATCGACAAAATTTAATGTAAGTCTTCAGGTTGTTTTGTCAGTTAAAAAACACATCACAGGTTATAAACATGCCTAATAATATAATACATTTCTTTCTGGGAGGAATGATGCTGAATAAGTTGGGTTTATTAAAAGTAACTTGGTACCAGAAAGTAAGTTCATAAAGTTGAATTTTAAAAATATGACATTAAGATAAAGAACACATCACGAAAGTAAATAGAAAAGAAAATTATATATCAATAAATTCTATATTGTTAAACAACCTCATCCAAGTTTTAACAAAAATACACTTGGTAGGATAACCCTGTTTAGTAGAGCAACGTAAATGAACGGTTAGTATATAAAGTAGGTCATGAGCCAAAGAATTAATTAAACATGTGTCATATCAATTAATTCGAATAAGAAGAGGCAAGCTGTATGACATGTATTGGAAGGTTGAACTGGATATATATGTGCGAAACATATAATACAGTTAACAGCTGAATTAACGGGAGACAACTCTGGCAGACCTAGGCCCGTGTTACTAACACATACATTACAGAAAGCAGCTACCCATTCCACGATAAAACAGATATCTTTTTGTATTTTTTTGTGTGTGTAATAATGTAATTATGTACGTACAACATAGGAATAAACGGATCAACATATATTGATTCTGACATATACAGTGTGTCTTACAATGAATTTCCCAAGCAAACTAAATTCATATAAAAATCATTCTGAAAAATATATGTGAATCGATCCACAGTGGTATCGTTGACAGCTAATTTATACTGTTTGTTATATATTGCACTTAAAAACCTACAGCGACAACACGAGGAAAAATACCCTCATCGTCAACACAGGAGAATAAACTACCCACAGCGTCACCAAACGAGGAAACAAGACCTACAACGTCAACACACAAGATCAAAATACCCTCAGTGTCAACACACTAAGGACAAATACCCTCCGCGCCAACACACGACGACACAATTCCCTCTGCGTCAACACACCAGAACAAATACCCTCAGCATAAACACACGAGAACAAATACCCACAGTGTCAACACACGAGGACAACAAAATATTCTCAGTGTCAACATACGAGTACAAATACAGCGCCACCACACGAGGTCAAAATACCCTCAGCGTCAACACACGAGGTAAAAATACCCTCCGCGTCAACACATGATGTCAAAATACCCTCAGCGTCAACACACGAGGTAAAATTACCATCCGCATCAACACATGAGGTCAAAATACCCTCCGCGTCAATACATGAGGACAAAATGTCAAAATACCCTCAGTGTCAACACACGACGACACGATTCCCACAGCGTCAACACATGAGGTCAAAATATCCACAGCGTCACCAGACGAGGACAACAAACCCTCAGCATCATCACGTGAGGGCAAATTCCCACAGCGTCAGCACATAACGACAAAGTGGTCTCCAGAAGAGTACCGCCATCGCGGAGACACAAAAAAGGACAGACATTACCGACAAAATAAAGTCTTTTTGTTTTTGTAGGAAAGGTGTTTGCTTCGTTAAATGGATGAAGGTCAGTATTGACCCTACCGGGGGGCATGTACTTAATTATGATAGACACTGAAATATCATGGTTAAAAATCGGATCTCACTAACAACAGGAATAACAGCGTGTGTATAGATAGATAGCATCACATGTATTAAGACTTTGGAAAATAAAAATATCAATATTTAATATTTGAACACGTACGATATACATTCTTATATAATATGTATTATTATTAGATATGATGGTCCCTTGATTGAATCAACGATAGGTAAGGTAGGGTTTATATATGGTATAAGTATTAATGTTCACTTTAACGTTAACACGAAAGTCATTAAAGGCCGTACCTGTCAATATTACATAGAGGGTTCCTGTAGCTTAATACACTTGTAACCCAGGTAACTACAGTCTCTAAGCATTACAATGACCTTCAGGTGAATAACCTATCTTTTATTTAGAATTAGGACGTCTTAAGAAACGAACATTGGTTGGTATAAGGAAAGTCACCCAAAGAGCATAAGAAATCGTCATAGAGGGCAAGAACTGGTGGTCATTAGCAATTTTACAACACCGTCAACACCTTTTATACGAGGTCTAGAAACTAATAATGACTGCAGACTTATACGAAGTAATTTAGAAAAGGCATAGGTTGGTACGAATCAAACTTTATTGATTCGTAACAGGCCCATATTGGCAGGTTAGACATGTTTTTTTTTTTTTTTAATATTCACTATTTGTAACGTTCTGCGTAAAATTTTAAGTTTGACGAATTACAAACGAATTAAGTCAACAGGACATCACTTATAACTTTTACCAGACACGGGCATGTTAAGGCAGTCAGATGTTTTTGATATCATCGATAGCCAAGCTTTTCAAAGCTTGTCTCAACTAAACAAATCTATGATGTTCGAAGTAATAGTTTTTAAAAGTGGTGTTAAGATTTAAATGAAGTATCAATAGATTTATAGGAGTAGTTACTTGTTCAGTGGCATAGTGTACATAGACTGGTTCGTGTGACATGCACCATCGGCAAAAGGGAGATAGCAAAAAGTTAGTAAACCAGTGAACAAAAAACGTACAAACAACTTTAACCTGACAATGTTACAGTTGTGTCTGGTTTAACCTGACATGGTACAGTTGTGTCTGGTTATCAATAAAACATAGCCTTACTCTAGATGGTAAAATCTTGTAAAAAAAATAGATCGTGGCGAAATTCAAAATACTAACAAAACGTATATATGCGAAAAATACATCATCAATGCTGCCCACACTATTAGTATTACATTTAGTGGTGGAAGTATATTAGTAACATAGACACATAAATGTCCAGAACACTGGTTTGTGGTGATCACATTGTACACGTGATATGTATAAACCCTGTCTACTGATATGTAAACACGTATTTATAAAGACCACCAAAGGGAAGGCAAAACAGTGGTTGGTTTCATAACGGGGATGCTCTCCTAATGCGGTAATTATATAAACCAAAATACAGCTTTGTGATAAAATGGAAGGGCTGCAACGATATATCGTATTGTATCGTATCACGATACTTTCTTGTGTATCGTACCGAATTGTTTTGTTTGCCTGTCTCCTGATACACTAGCAGCACTTAAATTTTGAATTAATTTTTATCAAACCCCTAAAAATGTCCTTCAGTAAAGATGTGGTCAACTGTGCAGTCATACCCAAAAGTACTACAAAGAATACAAAAATATATTTCGATAGTATATACTATTGAAGTCTATGACAACATCCTGCACTCAATCATTATGAAGTTGACCTTTTAAGCAGATATTTGTATCGTGATACGTATCGTATCGAAAGCATCGTATCGCGATTCGTATCGTATCGTGAGGAATATATATCGTTGCAGCCCTTAAAAATGGTGATCTAATACACGAGATAGGACTGATTAAGCTACACACATGGATTAACAATGCCAGATATATTGTTTCTCACAGAGCAAACAATATAATGACGATTATCTAATCAATGCTATTTAAGGTTAGGTCGGCATTCCCTGACATGACTGTTCAATGTTTCCTTTTCAAAAAAGGTTATTGGATATCATTCATGCTTTGCGATTAGTCAATTTCGGAATAATTACACCAAGCTTATTTGCAAGGATTTAAATTCGATAGTCGAAAAAACCTGTCGGTTAAATCAAAGATTTCAACGGCAAAATATAGAATGTAAATCCCGCAAACTAGAAACTTTTTACTCTCCTACAAATGAGAGGTATTTTAACTCTCAGCGATTGATTGTAATATGTCTATAAGGTTGACAAGACCAAAAAGAATGCCTTCCTCCACACCGCCTTGGTGTTCCTTTACGTCCGACTTCAGCACCGTGTGAGCAAAATCTATCATCCGGGCATCTGCAGTGGCCATGTCGTCATCACAACCAGACTGGTCAACTTTTCCGTCCTCAGTTTCCTCCACTTTAATTTGATCGGGGAAATCATGTGACGAGTTGTTACTGGATAAATCCTCTTCTGATTGGTCAGAATTTCGTTCGGAAGATTCATTTGCTTGTTTTGATTGGTCGGAACACTGATAATTTTCAATGTAACCGTCGTAAAACAGTAGTAACGACGATGAGAAGAAGTAAAAAGTATCCTGTGTAGATAGCACGTGATGCAGTCTGCGCAGTTTCTGTATCATCCGAGAAATTTCACGTATGTTTATGGTTTGGCTGTTGTGGAAGAACTGCCGAAGATCCTGACGAAGACCATTATCGTCTAGGGCCCGACCGTGGTACTTGTCGTAAGATAGGTAACTGTTAGTTTCCGCCTGGTATACCTGTCAACAACAAAACTCTTAATATTAAGCGTCCAAGGTAAATATAGTCATAGATGGCGTATGTATCGATAGTGCAGTTCCACGTTAAGCAAATTTCGTAGCATGCGCGATCCCCAAGACACTTGCGTTACCTAACGCATGTGTCAAAAATGGATGTAGGAATAAAACTGTTTTGTGTGTAATTATATTGCAGTACCTTCAGCAAAAGTCAGCGATTAACGACAACCGCGACATGACTTTACCAATACTTAATATGATACTTCTGAGGTGTGGGAGAATGTAAAATATAGCACGAATAGCATGGTCTATTAATAGCTTAAATAAATCAAGAATTCATATGCGACAGTGTAGTGTAAGTTTCGTGGCTTTTGTGTTATGGTAAATCGTAAATTCAACAAATAACGTGACGCCACATAATTTACAATCTTTAAGACACATTTCTACCCCAGTAACACTTCATACTCAGTGTTAACAAGGTCACGGGCAACATTTCTAGTCCAGTAACACTACATACTCAGTGTTAACAAGGTCACGGGCAACATTTCTAGTCCAGTAACAATTCATACTCAGTGTTAACAAGGTCACGGGCAACATTTCTAGTCCATTAACACTTCATACTCAGAGTTAACAAGGTCACGGGGAACATTTCTACCCAAGTAACACTTCATACTCAGTGTTAACAAGGTCACGGGGAACATTTCTAGTACAGTAACACTTCATACTCAGTGTTAACAAGGTCACGGGGAACATTTCTACCCAAGTAACACTTCATACTCAGTGTTAACAAGGTCACGGGGAACATTTCTAGTACAGTAACACTTCATACTCAGTGTTAACAAGGTCACGGGGAACATTTCTACCCAAGTAACACTTCATACTCAGTGTTAACAAGGTCACGGGGAACATTTCTAGTACAGTAACACTTCATACCCAGTGTTAACAAGGTCACGGGGAACATTTCTACCCAAGTAACACTTCATACTCAGTGTTAACAAGGTCACGGGCAACATTTCTAGTCTAGTAACACTACATACTCAGTGTTAACAAGGTCAGGGGGAACATTTCTAGTCCAGTAACACTACATACTCAGAGTTAACAAGGTCACGGGGAACATTACTAGTCCGGTAACACTTCATACTCAAAGCTAACAAGGTCACGGGGAACATTTCTAGTCCAGTAACACTACATACTCAGAGTTAACAAGGTCACGGGGAACATTTCTAGTCCGGTAACACTTCATACTCAGTGTTAACAAGGTCACGGGGAACATTTCTAGTCCAGTAACACTACATACTCAGAGTTAACAAGGTCACGGGGAACATTTCTAGTCCGGTAACACTTCATACTCAGAGTTAACAAGGTCACGGGCAACATTTCTAGTCTAGTAACACTACATACTCAGTGTTAACAAGGTCACGGGGAACATTTCTAGTCCGGTAACACTTCATACTCAGAGTTAACAAGGTCACGGGGAACATTTCTAGTCCGATAACACTCCATACTCAGAGTTAACAAGGTCACGGGCAACATTTCTAGTCTAGTAACACTACATACTCAGAGTTAACAAGGTCACGGGGAACATTACTAGTACAGTAACACTACATACTCAGAGTTAACAAGGTCACGGGCAACATTTCTAGTCCGGTAACACTTCATACTCAAAGCTAACAAGGTCACGGGGAACATTTCTAGTACAGTAACATAGTACAATAACACAAGTAATATTTCTAGTAAAGTAAAACTGTGTGACAAAACAACAGCAAATGTTTCTTGTCACGTGACAATACACACGCCAAACATTTCTAGTACTACTTCACAAATGTCTTACAATCTCACAGCAATTATTTAGTCAAGTATCAGTTACGGTACAGTAATACAATCTCACAGCAATTATTTAGAGTCAAGTACCAGTTACACTACAGTAATACAATCTCACAGCAATTATTTAAAGTCAAGTACCAATTACACTAGAGTATTACAATCTCACAGCAGTTATTTAAAGTCAAGTACCAGTTACACTACAGTAATACAATCTCACAGCAATTATTAAGAGTAAAGTACTAGTTACACTACAGTATTACAATCTCACAGCAATTATTTAGTCAAGTATCAGTTACACTACAGTATTACAATCTCACAGCAATTATTTAGTAAAGTACCAATTACACTACAGTATTACAAGCTCACAGCAATTATTTAGTCAAGTACCAGTTACGCTCCAGTATTACAATCTCACAGCAATTGTTTAGAGTCAAGTACCAGTTACACTACAGTAATACAATCTCACAGCAATGATTTAGTCAAGTATCAGTTACACTACATTAACACAATCTCACAGCAATTGTTTAGTCAAGTATCAGTTACACTACAGTATTACAATCTCACAGCAATTATTTAGTCAAGTATCAGTTACACTACATTAACACAATCTCACAGCAATTGTTTAGTCAAGTATCAGTTACACTACAGTATTACAATCTGACAGCAATTATTTAGTAAAGTACCAATTACACTACAGTATTACAATCTCACATCAATTATTTAGTCAAGTACCAGTTACACTCCAGTATTACAATCTCACAGCAATTGTTTAGAGTCAAGTACCAGTTACACTACAGTATTACAATCTCACAGCAATTATTTAGAATCAAGTGCCAGTTACACTACAGTATTACAATATCATAGCAATTATTTAGAGTCAAGTACCAGTTACACTACAGTAATACAATCTCACAGCAATTATTTAGAGTCAAGTACCAGTTACACTACAGTATGACAATCTCACAGCAATTGTTTAGAGTCAAGTACCAGTTACACTACAGTAATACAATCTCACAGCAATTATTTAGTCAAGTACCAGTTACACTACAGTAATACAATCTCACAGCAATTATTTAGAGTCAAGTACCAGTTACACTACAGTAATACAATCTCACAGCAATTATTTAGAGTCAAGTACCAGTTACACTACAGTAATACAATCTCACAGCAATTATTTAGAGTCAAGTACCAGTTACACTACAGTAATACAATCTCACAGCAATTATTTAGAGTCAAGTACCAGTTACACTACAGTAATACAATCTCACAGCAATTATTTAGAGTCAAGTACCAGTTACACTACAGTAATACAATCTCACAGCAATTATTTAGAGTCAAGTACCAGTTACACTACAGTAATACAATCTCACAGCAATTATTTAGAGTCAAGTACCAGTTACACTACAGTATTACAATCTCACAGCAATTATTTAGAGTCAAGTACCAGTTACACTACAGTAATACAATCTCACAGCAATTATTTAGAGTCAAGTACCAGTTACACTACAGTAATACAATCTCACAGCAATTATTTAGAGTCAAGTACCAGTTACACTACAGTAATACAATCTCACAGCAATTATTTAGAGTCAAGTACCAGTTACACTACAGTAATACAATCTCACAGCAATTATTTAGAGTCAAGTACCAGTTACACTACAGTAATACAATCTCACAGCAATTATTTAGAGTCAAGTACCAGTTACACTACAGTATTACAATCTCACAGCAATTATTTAGAGTCAAGTACCAGTTACACTACAGTAATACAATCTCACAGCAATTATTTAGAGTCAAGTACCAGTTACACTACAGTATGACAATCTCACAGCAATTGTTTAGAGTCAAGTACCAGTTACACTACAGTAATACAATCTCACAGCAATTATTTAGTCAAGTACCAGTTACACTACAGTAATACAATCTCACAGCAATTATTTAGAGTCAAGTTCCAGTTACACTACAGTATGACAATCTCACAGCAATTGTTTAGAGTCAAGTACCAGTTACACTACAGTAATACAATCTCACAGCAATTATTTAGAGTCAAGTACCAGTTACACTACAGTAATACAATCTCACAGCAATTATTTAGAGTCAAGTACCAGTTACACTACAGTAATACAATCTCACAGCAATTATTTAGAGTCAAGTACCAGTTACACTACAGTAATACAATCTCACAGCAATTATTTAGAGTCAAGTACCAGTTACACTACAGTAATACAATCTCACAGCAATTATTTAGAGTCAAGTACCAGTTACACTACAGTATGACAATCTCACAGCAATTGTTTAGAGTCAAGTACCAGTTACACTACAGTAATACAATCTCACAGCAATTATTTAGTCAAGTACCAGTTACACTACAGTAATACAATCTCACAGCAATTATTTAGAGTCAAGTACCAGTTACACTACAGTATTACAATCTCACAGCAATTATTTAGAGTCAAGTACCAGTTACACTACAGTAATACAATCTCACAGCAATTATTTAGAGTCAAGTACCAGTTACACTACAGTATGACAATCTCACAGCAATTGTTTAGAGTCAAGTACCAGTTACACTACAGTAATACAATCTCACAGCAATTATTTAGTCAAGTATCGGTTACACTACAGTATGACAATCTCACAGCAATTATTTAATCAAGTATCGGTCACACTTCAGTAATACAATCTCACAGCAATTGTTTAGAGTCAAGTACCAGTTACACTACAGTATGACAATCTCACAGCAATTATTTAGTCAAGTATCGGTTACGGTACAGTAATACAATCTCACAGCAAATATTTAGAATCAAGTACCAGTTACACTACAGTATTACAATCTCACAGCAATTATTTAGGCAAGTATCGGTTACGGGACAGTAATACAATCTCACGGCAATTATTTAGTCACGTACCAGTTACACTACAGAAATACAATCTAACAGCAATTATTTAGAGTCAAGTTCCAGTTACACTACAGAAATACAATCTAACAGCAATTATTTAGAATCAAGTGCCAGTTACACTACAGTGTAACAATCTCACAGCAAATATTTAGTATCAAGTACCAGTTACACTACAGCATTACAATCTCACAGCAATTATATAGTCAAGTACCAGTTACACTCCAGTATAACAATCTCACAGCAATTATTTCGAGTCAAGTACCAGTTTCACTACAGTAATACATTCTCACAGCAATTATTTAATCAAGTATCGGTCACACTACAGTAATACAATCTCACAGCAATTATTTAGAGTCAAGTACCAGTTACACTACAGCATTACAATCTCAAAGCAAACAGTTTTAGTCCAATAACACTACATACCTTACAACCACAAAACTGCAAATTAAACAGTTCATGAATAAATGCTTCCTTACAAACCATACAGTGTCCGACATTAACACCACGTTAAATAGATCGAGACCCATTATACGAACTTATCAATGACGATCCGTAAAGGAAGAAAAGATTGAGCGATATTTCTTTCAAATTAGGCATTTAATGAAAATTTTGAAACCGTTGACATAAGTTGTTAACACTTCGATACACATCCATCCTAGTAGACAGGAAGCCTGGCCGTCATTATGTTTCCGATTACTTTGTCGTGGGGTAATTATAACCCTACACAAGTCTCCGTCAGACAGTGAACACTACAGCTGAACGGTCATACTCAAAGAATGTAACGCTGTATTGTATAGCTGGTTGGTACTTGGTTGTAATCCCATGACATTGCATGAATTATAACCCGCTGACAGAAAGTTGTCGGTCCTGACCGTCTGAATGGACACGGCCCCATGATCCATGGGATATCAACTCAATCACGTTCGCCAAGCTCGATATGTCCATTTAACATTGATGTGTCCATTTAAAACAGCCCCCCCCCCCCCCCCCCCCCCCCCCCCCCCCCCCCCCCCAACACCTTATTCTCCTTTCAATATTTCCGAAAAACGCAACTAAAAATCTCTATATTTACAACATTAAAAACGGTTCGACATCGTTCGGTTTGGATAACTTACTTGCATGCCGCAGATGCGCAGACCTAGGGAAGCGGAAGTTGAATGTGCGCATCGATCTTCCAGCAGCTTCTTCTTCTCCTCTGAAGAATCGTCGCCATGTTGTCGGGTTCCCATCTTGAGGTCCAGTATACAGGGCATTCTTAGTGAGCCGACCAGATTACCAAGCATGATAAACTCTTTGATAGGTTAAGGATGTACGTACAGATAGAACAGTAGGATAGCTTTACCTGAAGACTTCTGTTCACATAGCATACCTTAAAACATAACAGCTTTATGAAGAAATGAAGAGATTTGTTATGCAAAAATGGAAAATGGTTATTTAATTTCGCTCCAATTTTGCAAGGACTCTATTCGCTTCCGTTCCGCCTCTTTCCTGTTTTTGTATTTGAGTTGTATGATTCTGTCCTGCTGTGATGATCGCGCAGCATTTTATTTTCTATTCGCCATATCAAAGTTACTTGCATAAATGGTTGTTTTGTTTAACGTCCTAAAAACAGCTATGGTCATTTAAGGACGTGCCAGGTGGTGGTGATGGTGGTGGTGGTGGAGGAAAGCCGGAGTTCCCAGAGAAAAACCACCGACCAACGGCCAGTTCTTGGCGACTGCCCCACGTATGTCTCGAACCCGCGACCCAGTGGTGGAGGGCTAGTGGTACATTTAGCAGAATGTCAGATGTCTTAACCACATGGCCACCGCGACCCCTTGCATATAGATCTATTAGGCCTGCGTCAACAGATTAACCACAACCCTGTCAGGTAGAAAGTCCATTTAAATCATCCAAAACTTTAACAAAGTCAACCATTGATGCTTCGAACTTTTCTTTACCTTATCTTGATCTGTTGTTAAACATATAAACTTGATGTTTACGTATGTTTCTATATTCTAGCAACATCTATAAACTTATCTTTCTGTCTATACATTCTGATATTTAGAAATTGTGCTTTCTGTGTTTTTAAACAAACTTAATCGACACATGTAAAATTACAACACAATCCCGTATACAGGTAAATATAACCACTTTGTACATGTACCTGGACCGTAGTTTTCTCCCCGCCTGGGGCACTTACGTAACTCGTCGGGTAAGGCCGGGGGTGTGAAAATCCAGGTGAAGGAGAGCTATAGACAAACGAATGCAAATAACAAATACTATTCATTACGGTCAAACGGTATCGCATATCAGCTCTGTGTGTCAGGCACTGGTCAGGTAAAACTCCGGACACTCATAAAATTGTTATTTACCTGTTCTGTTACCTTGGAGCCAAACCCATTCTTGACAGCCTAACGGTCGCTGTAATACTGTGTAACACGCATTGTGAAATTGTATAATCTTGATTATTGTGATGAGAAATTACAGATATATACACAGTGCACATAATCCGATACAAGCCTTCCGTATTTTTGTCATTCCGTAATTTTGATCTACAATTGATACCAAATCGCACAGTTGTGCGGAGAGAAGCGCACAACGGGGCGAACGATTGCTCAATCGCACAGTTGTGCGCACCATGTGTGGACGATGTGCGGACGGTGTGTGAACGATGTTCAAGTTTTAGACGTTCAAGTTCTTTCAGATGTATGCACGGTGTGCGCACGCTATTTTTGGTGCGTTGTGCGGTCCCACACCTGTAACTTCATTACACTCACTCTATGTAAGGTTTTTAAAGTTGCTGATACTAACAAAATGTATTTATTTGTAATGCAAAGGATGTGAGATGTGAATAAACTGTCAAATATACGTTTGTTTTGCAATAAGATTGATTTACGTAAAGTAAAGGATACTCTGGTCGACGTTGTTTGACCAGAAGCCATTACGCTGCATCTGGCGGTCTATACAGGAAACACTCCAATTGTCTAACCCCGACTTCACCTCATCGCTTCTCCCTCTGTAGATACAAAACAATCACAACTAGTACACAAAAACACAACCAATGCCCCGTAGATTATTGTTTAACAAATGGAGCTTTTGGGATATATACAGCAAAACCTCGCCATACTTACTGTCATATATGTTGAGCCATATATATATATATCAAGAAATCATTGAAAGGAAGTTGGATGCTTTAATGAGAAAGAAATATTAAAATATGTTGGAGGTAGACTTGGTGGCATTATATTGCGGTTTACTGTGCAGTTAATCTATACACTACACAGTTAAAGGTTTATAGAAGTATAACGTTAAAGACACATTAAAAAAACTCATTTTGTCCTTTAATATACGTTTTGATGCTAGCCAAAAATCTAATATATACGTTCCATAACTTAAACAGCAAATTTCTTTGAACATTCGTATTTGGATAGACTTATGTTTACGATTTACATATCTGTACTAATATCAACATTGGGAAGGGACTTATTTTACACAATGACAATTTAAAGCACACGGAACATAACCGAAATCCTATTTTCAGCCCATCAACATTTTAATAAACAAAGGACTAAAGTAGAGATAATCAATACTCAATCAATCCATTATTCATCGCACACCTCGTTGTTGATTCGGGATAACTCTAGACTTACTCGTTGTTTTGATGTTCTGTGTTCCGAAGGATATATCCGGGTACTTCAGCGTAGAACGTGGGACTGTCGTTGTCATGGCTACATTTGACACACACGAGGCCTGAAGAGATACAAATAATTCATGACTGTGATTAATAAGGACATAATGAGAGGCGAGCTATCGATCACAGTGTATAACGATAGCTTACTCGTTACTGTTTCAGCGAGACAGTTTACAATCTTCGTCAGCAAGAACACAGCTGCAAATATATTCCAACAAAGCAGGCTCTTTTTGCACTGGTAGTTTTCCGTTATCTATGGCAATCTGATAAGTCATGTACCGTAGCGGGAAGTTACTGATGCATATATTTGTTTTATCATGTGTGTCAATGGTTAATGCCAAATAGTATATTATTTGGCAAGAGAGGTGTCGGGATAAAATGTTTACGTAACAAAATAATAGAGCACATACATAATAAATTTGACTGTCAATCATTTTCATATTCGTTACAGTGAGATAGGTTTGAATATTCAGTAGCTAGACGACGTATTGACTTATCACGACTGAGAAGCATGCGTGGAAGAAACGCAGAATGCGGTAAAGTCAACTTTTGGGGTTTAACGTCCTCGCACCAGCCAAGACATTAGGAAGACGCCAAGCGGGACAAGACCGAAATGGTGAGTACGGTAGATCAGAACGAGACCTTTGGTGCTGTAGTGGGCGAAGCAGACCAAGCTTGGTTTCTTGATTGTTTTTTTCTTCTTTACAAAGCAGAACACCCCCCCNCGCCTCTTACAATACACATGCAGTATGATAGAGACAGAGAGGCAGGTAGTTCTACACTTTCTCTGAGGGAGACTTAAATGGAGTCTCATAATACGTATGGACCGCTTTCGTGTATCGCGATCCAACCGGTTTAATCCTTTCACCCCTATGTACATTTAGTAGACTCTGCCATGCATTGATGTGGATGAGTCTATTTTGGTCTACAGTGGTGAAAGGGTTAACCGGTTGGACCAGAGTTGTTCGTTTATGAAATAAGGTCGGACCTAGAAATCTGATGCTGCTTTCAGAAATTTTAGATTAGATTTAGATTTTTATTAACACTCAAGACACATAGTATGTGTTACATGAGGAAATAAAGTTGCAGATATGGAAAATGAAGTACAATAACTGAAAGAATGGACAGTTCCATTTAGAACCGGTACGGTATAGTAACATGATATGACATACAATGGAAAATACATAGCAAACATAAATAAACATACATATAATTCCCAAGTTATATAACTATTAACAGTTATACATATGCATCATTCACAAAAGAGGAGCCATTTTGGTAAGGAAAATAGATAAACCTGTCAGAACTCGTTGATTGCATAATGATAAAAGACCTTTAAACTTGTAAATATTTGTGTGTGTACATTAATAACGAGGAATATATTTGTTACATAAGGTGGATATAGTTATATTATTGCATTCAAATAGATAATGAAATTCATCCCGGACACTTTCGGCGCACAAATTACATAGTCGATTATCTCGGGGTATGTTATATACCAACTACCTGTTTCAATGCGGAACTTCAAATTCGAAGTGCGCAGTTTTGTTATTGGTGTTCTAATATGTTCTGGTAAATTTAATAAATATTTTTCTATACCAAATTCCGTTTTAAATAGAGTGAGTACTGCCCACGAGATGAGCTATAGTAATGTCATCGAACCATTGCTGTACAAAATGATCAATAAGCCGTTGTTTTAACATGCATTTGTAAAATCCATCAGGCATCTGTAATTCATTATCAAATATGTAAGAAAATCCCGTTTCATTGAAAATGCCTTTTATATAGTTAACCCATTTGAACGGCAGAGTATCATCGTTTTGCAAATGTAAAGCCAGTCGTAGTAATATGCTGCTGAGTTTGTTTTCATTACTAATTATTCTATTCCAAAAACCTAGCATTCTTAGTTTAACATTTATTTCCAATGGCACACGACCCTATAGCTCGCCATAAATCATAAAATTAGGCGTTGTAGATCTCACTTTAAGAATTCTTTTACAAAACTTTATAAACTACATCTACATGTACTTAGATAAGTATATGATCAATACACTTTTCTGGTAAGAAACGTTTTATTACGTTCATATGAATTGAAAGTTCTGTTATCATTACAACTGAACAGTTTTAGATTCGAATCAAAGCGATGTATGCATCGGTGTGAGCAATGGGCCCGTATCGAGCCCCACCGATAGACGTGATGTTTGAAAGCCGTATACGCGTGTATAGCGACGTACAGAGTGGTTTAAACTCGCAGACGTCTGTTAACAGTGTTCGGGAAGTTTCAAACAAATCTCTTTACTCATGTGTATGATGTTCTATTGTGTGATAAACAAAGGGTATGGTTTTAACTGGTGTCGTAATTGTTTTTCTATAAGTTTTCGTTGATTTAAAAGTCAAATCCGATAGTCAAACTAAGTATTTTGTTTCTTCAATTTCCAGCTTCCTCATCTCCAGTCGTATTACAACCCATACTTCAAAAAGTGAAGAACTGGAATATCGAATAGCATAATTAATGACGTCATACTGATGCTACATCCTGAAACTTTTAACACGACAAGAGCTTACCAAGGGCGCCTATAGATTCACAGCCCAAAATGTCTATCTGAAAAGAGCTTGCCAAAGGCGCCTATATAGAATCACAGCCCAAAAATGTCTATCTGACAAGAGCTAACCAATGGCGCCTATAGAATCACAGCCCAAAAATGTCTATCTGACAAGAGCTTACCAATGGCGCCCATAGAATCACAGCCCGAAAATGTCTATCTGACAAGAGCTTACCAATGGCGCCTATAGAATCACAGCCCAAAAATGTCTATCTGACAAGAGCTTACCAAAGGCGCCTATGGAATCACAGCCCAAAATATCTATCTGACAAGAGGTTACCAAAGGAGCTTACAGAAACACAGCAAACAAAACAAACTTGAGAGAAGAAAAACAGAGAGGGGTCCCGAGTGCCCTCTAAGCAGAAGACACAGAGAAAAACCAAAACGGGGGAGGCATAAGTCGCCTCAAACAAAATACAGTGGGATGTAGCAGGCCAATGTTTTCCCGAGCCTGCACAGGTGCAGTGTGCAGACGTTAACTTACTATAGTCCTATATGTAAATGTGTACCTACCTTTGTAATGTGGCGTGAATTCCTTCATATTTTCGGGTAGGTTCTGATAAAACTGGAACTCCCGCTCCTGGTACGGTTTACATATTGTTTCCTGTGTGATTTCAAACAAGCACGTGTGACCACCGACTTGGTGGACAAAGGGTTTGAGTATCACTAGCTGGTCATCATTCTTGTAATACGTCATCATACAGAACACCTCGCATACCTGGGGGGAATAAAACATACAAAATGTAGATATCGATATAAAAACAAATATGTTTCTTAAACCCGTTCACAGAGGGTCCCTAATAAGGCAAGTTACCTATAGTACATTTGTTCACCAACAACTTAGGTTTATGGTGAGAAACCGTGTCGGGGTGAGAAATCGTGTATAATGGTTTTGTTCGCAACACGGTTCCTCACCCCTACCAATATCTTACTCAAGTGAGAAATCGTGCAAAACATATGGGCATATGTGACGTTTTCTCTCAACAGACCAGCCTATCTCAATTGGGGTTTAGTCAGATGGAATTTCATCCGTGGTGTTTTTCGAGTAAACTTTATTTCACAACAATGAAACAGTTTTTTTGTCAACGTACATTAATGAGGTAACAACAATTACTCAGATTCCAGTGGCTAAGGTAACTTACGGAACAAAGGACACGGACTGTCAATACAACATGAACCTATTAAAACAGGTCCGATGGTCAAACTTTTAACAGACTTGTGTTTCAATATGTACTTAACATCCATATTGAAAGGCGATGTGTACAGCGTATGTAAGTAGCTCCGGTATATGACGTCACTGTTTTGATGCCCCTTCCTTTTTTAGGTTATACTCTTGTAAATTGTCAATTATCGTGGTATAACCAAAATACATGTATATACTCATTCTAATCTTACAAAGAATTTGTATCCTATGCCTTTCTCATTTTCGTTATTTATTTCATAGTTCAGTATTTCTTCCATTTTTATTTAACGGATCGGAAAAACGTATGACCTGCATGACAGAATACATAGTGGACAGATATGGTAATTGCTACCACTCTGTCCGTAAAAATGCTTAAGAAATTAACAAGATTGATTAAGGTGCTTATACAGTAATTATATAAAACTGTGCGCACTTTGCATAATTTCAAGTAGAAGTTTATAAACTAAAGTACACACATTTTACATTTGTACAGTCTGTATGTAATAAATTCCTTGATATAAAAATTTCAAAAATACGGAAAAGACTGTTATTTCTTTGTCAAACAACTTTAACCAATCAGAAGCTAGAATTACAAATACCGCAACAATGACGTCATCACTTTTTTAAATGTCCATGCTCGAATAGCAGCTAGGGAGTATGATGGAAAGATACAAGAAGAAAATAATCACGTTTCAAGTTGATCATAAGTTCTTGTGGTTCAGTTATATTGAATTTGTTATTTCTTGATGAATTAGAAGCAGTGAGTGTAACTGCAGTAGCGTATAATCGTCATAAACATAATATAGCAGCATTAACTAGTTATAAGTGTTTCCACGTGTAATTTCCATTTCCACTGATATATAGCGTATATATCAACATAACCAGAAGAAATGGCTTTCATACAGGTCATGAACGCAGTGAAGTCAGTGTCACAATGACGCTTCTCTCCCCGCCACGCATGACGACGAATCACTATAAGAATCAAACATTTAGATGACGTTAGAACTTTCCTGGAATATCGTTTGTTACAACAAAGACACTCCAAGATCTAAAATAATAGGGAATAATTCTAGTTTAAGTCACAAACAAGTATCAAGTTGGAATGTAAATCTATTCATGTAAGTAATTACCTTGCGTTCATTGAAAACAAATCATTCAATCCTTTCGTTGATTTCAACAGAGACACATGTTTGCTGTTCTCGTTCACAAATATATACTTGGTTTAATGTTCTGCCTAGTGGCTCCCAGTAATCGTATATTGCTATATACTATATCTACATGGCGAAGTGACTCGCTAAAATAGACAAATAACAATCCACTTAGACGTTATTGATACTGTACAGGTTGCGAAACTTACATATAGATTTCAGATCGCTGTTGGCCTGTAGATCATAATCGGCGGTGACGTCGACCTCAATTCATATATCTAAATTGAGTCAGGTCAACGTTTCAACACGGATTTACATAGTATTTTTCTATAGTTTCACGCAGCTGTGATAAAGAAAACAGACTATTGGCGTTACCTTCCATTATTTCATGCTCGAAAGCACATTCCTTCTATTCGGATATTAAATATAAGTGCTTGCGTTCGTAAACAAAGTGTATAAAATACAGTAGAGAAAACCAGACATCGACCTCTCAAAATAGTATTCATGTTTTCTCTTGTATTTTACCATTTTACTTTGTGTTGGTCTCGCTTGATCGCCTACCGCATCAACATTTTACCATGTAAATAAATAATCCTACATGTAAATGTTGACAATCGTTCGTTCACCCATAATGAACAAAAACATAACATACTGGGATATTCATTATACCGACAGTTGTGTATTACATAGTTATTTGGTGGAGTACATTTTGACCAGTGAGCAGTGTGTAGTAGAAAATGTGAGAATCATACATATGTACATGTACTTCGAAGGGCGCTGTATATTATGAATTACGTCAGTTGCTTAGCATATCCAATCACGGATGATTTCAAAACTCAAAACTCCGACCTCAAACACGAACAAACATATTTTGAAGAGGGAATATTATAAGAAATGTCCGACCGATCATAGAATGTGTGTATCATTGCACACTTTGAAACAAAAGTGTTGTCCTGCATAAATAATTTCTCGATCACACAAAAACATAACGTTTTCCCCAAATTTTAGGCACGACTGGGTCATATCAGCAAAAATACCTTGAAATAGGTCCTGTATTGTTAATCGGCGGCTCCTGTTCGGGTGTGACGACCCACAACTATTAACTATAAAACTGGATCTGTGCTCGATGCAATTAAACGTTCACATATATACAAACGTATAGTTACACGAAACCAATCCCATGTGTTTGATTGGAATGCCTTTCTCCGAGGTTGAACACGGAAAGACAGTTAGTCTATCGATTCCCAGTCATTGTACTTGTGTAATCATGTGGTCAATTATGTGGTCAAACACACAATGAACAACACTGGACATAGCCAAAGCAAACAATTTAACGTATGTAGGTCACTGACGGGTTAAAGTAATGCGAGGATTTAAATGCCTCCGGAATCGTCATTACTATTGTTGTTAAGAGGTTATGTCACAGCCAAGGAGCTTACAACGTTTTCTGTGGGCTGTTATAATACAAAGGAAACTATTTCAAATTTGATTCTAAAAAGATAGCACGAACTCTTACCTATGAAAAGATTGTTGCGCAATTCGCTACTTGAAGTTTTCCTGAATCAGAGCAGACAGAAAGAAAACAAGATGGGGTCTTTTAAATACTCAATATGGGGATTTGTTGTATAGTTAGTTTAAGGTAGGGATTCACGCTTTACCTAAAAGAGGATGAACTTTCCGTTTTGTATAGCCCGAGTTTCCTCAACACCAATGACCACGACACCAGACTTAAACATTTTGATATATAGATGTCTGGTGTGGGCCCAGAGAGCACTGCTTTATGAAAACGTGGAATTCTCCGACACCGTTTGGTATCGGAGAATTATGAGGTGCTGACAACAAAAATCTACTATGACACAACACATACCTCACATCTATCGATAAATGAACTATTTATTGATCCAAATCAGCTCTTTTTATCACCAACAGCTGCTAAATTCAGTAGAGTCTTCGATTTTTAATCGTTCAAAATTTCCAACCTGAGCGAACGCCGTTTTTGTAGGTCATAGGCCTAGGGTGACTAATCAACAAACCGTAGTGATCCTGACCGAAAACGGAATGTGTTATTTTTGTTTAGAAGATTTCCGGACCGCGTCTTTTTGTTGATTAGTCACTCCCCAATACCAAACGGTATCGGGAGAGATTCCACGTTTTCATAATATAGCAGTGCGCTCTGGCCCCACACCAGACATCTGTCTGTCAAAATGTTTAAGTCTGTTGAGGACCAGAGGAAGTTCGGGCTATGTTTTATATAACGAAGAAGAGTTACAACTTATACGACTTGTTTATCCCTTACTATCACAGCTTTGTTATATAACAGCTCACACACCGCTCTACTGGTCATGCAACACCACTGGGAACTTCAACATGTCAAAATTTTGAATAAACCTGCAACACATAATTGTTTCTGAAATGATACAGAGAAAATAACATGAAGGTGGCAATTTGCCAATTCGAACTAGGCGGTAGTAACCTACTTTTATGATGAGGTTAAACGGGATATTATCATGTAGAATACATAAAGGTGTAACTACCAGGTACTATTTCGAAATTAAAGCTCCAGGTTTTTCTATAATCATCCAATAAAAAAACACGTTTGTCCCTTTTCCAACTTCAGTCTCTCTAAGGAACAACTCATACAGGTGGTGAATCGGAAAAAGAATACACCTGCTGTCACCCACTGCATGATCGTAGGAGGCGACTAATGAGGGAAACCCCTTCAGAATTGGGGATTTACTTTGGAATCCTCTATTAGGGGACATAAAAACGACCAAAATAAAATTGCTGGACCCATTGCAATATCAGGGATCTTTATCTTTCTTTCTACTTCTGATTACGTTTTATTTTCCTAGCGCCTTGCTTGGCAACACCTCACTTTTGGCTTGATTGTTGAGCGTTCGCCCAGGTGAAGAAGGCAATGGGTTCTGTCCCCAGGCCGGGACATACCAAAGATCTTAAAAATGGTAGTTGTTATTCCCTGCTTAACGTTCAGCCTTTAGGGGAATGGCAACAACTGGTTCCCGTTGTCAATATTATGACCGGGCGAAATGCTGTGCTTGGTGCCTTCGGCATGGCATTTCAGTGAGATGGCACTATAAAGTTGGCATCAGATCCGCGCTATCACAAGGAGGCAAGCACACCAACATTCCATGTCTCCTGCATACACACATGCAAGCACGCATACACTACACACGTGAAGGCACGTCCTTAAATGATCTTAGCTGTAATTAGGACGTTAAGCAAAATTAAACCAAACCAAACCAAACCACAAAGGAACCTTTTCTATTGATTCAAAAGAGAAACCCAAGTTAACGATAACCTAACCCTAGCTTTTCTTTCTGCAAATAAAGCCTAGCTTATCAATTTGGACCATTCACTCCATTCTAGTTTGGATGTGGGCACCCCTCGTTTAACAGGATAACAACTTTCCGATGCCCGTATACAGCAGATAGGTAGTGAGATGTCCAAGTTAGAGTTCGCTGCAATTTCAAATTAATGTGCAACAAATTGAAACGAGGTAAAACATCACATTCCCTGAACTACCATTGGAACACATGTTTTCATGGAAACTGAAACAAAGGTGTTATTTGTAGAATAAGACAATACCTAAATAAGCGTCTTAACAAACACCTAAGAACTGCATTGCCATTATACTGAGTATACCTTGTTGTTGTCGGTACAGTATGTATATGTAGTTATCTAAAGCAGGTATACACAAGGTAAGACAATGGACGAATACAAACTTAACAAATACTTTACTAAGATAGAAGAATGGACGCACATAAACGAAACCCGTAAAACTCGACAGCAGAATGGACACACACAAAATAACAACATACAACTCGACAGAAGAATGGACACACATAAACTAAACACATACAACTCGACAGGAAATACAACTCGACAGGAGAATGAACAGACACAAACTTAACACATACAACTCGACAGGAGAATGAACAGACACAAACTTAACACATACAACTCGACAGGAGAATGGACACACACAAATTAAACACATACAACTCGACAGGTGAATGAACACACACAAACTAAACACATACAACTCGACAGGTGAATGAACACACGCAAACTAAACACACACAACTCGACAGGAGAATGAACAAACACAAACTAAACACATACAACTCGACAGGAGAATGGACACACACAAAATAAACGCATACAACTCGACAGGTGAATGAACACACACAAAATAAACACACACAACTCGACAGGAGAATGGACACACACAAACTAAACACATACAACTCGACAGGAGAATGCACACACACAAACTAAACGCATACAACACGACAGGTGAATGAACACACACAAACTAAACACACACAACTCAACAGGAGAATGAACAGACACAAACTAAACACATACAACTCGACAGGTGAATGAACACACACAAACTAAACACATACAACTCGACAGTAGAATGAACACACACAAACTAAACACATACAACTCGACAGTAGAATGAACACACACAAACTAAACACATACAACTCGACAGTAGAATGAACACACACAAACTAAACACATACAACTCGACAGGTGAATGAACACACACAAAATAAACACACACAACTCGACAGGAGAATGGACACATACAAACTAAACACATACAACTCGACAGGAGAATGGACACACACAAATTAAACGCATACAACTCGACAGGTGAATGGACACACACAAACTTAACACATACAACTCGACAGGAGAATGAACACACACAAACTTAACACATACAACTCGACAGGAAATACAACTCGACAGGAGAATGAACACACACAAACTAAACACATACAACTCGACAGTAGAATGAACACACACAAACTAAACACACACAACTCGACAGGAGAATGAACACACACAAACTAAACACACACAACTCGGTAGGAGAATGGACATACACAAACTAAACACATACAACTCGATAGGTGAATGAACAAAAAAAACCTAAAAACATACAACAGGACAGCAGTACAAAATTGACACATAATCTATCAAGACGTATTTTAACTCGGCGGGAGAATAGACGCGCATTACTAAGACAAATTGAAATACGTGAAATACTATACCGTTGAAGCACTCCCCCGCACGTGCTGGTACTGAACTTTCCCCGACAGATACTGGCTAGGCGTGTGAGGTTGTTAACGATAACCTTAATCTGGCCTAAGTAATCAACACGTCGGATAGCAGCGGTTTTATCTGTAGCCCCAAGATACAGAAGTCCTAATAGAGGTCTACCTAACTTTGAGACTAGGCAAGCTTCACAATGGTAGAGCGCACCAGATATACGTGCGTGACGTAATCAGAATAATCCAATTCAATTTCCTGTCCACCCACATGAACATATTATTTACATGACGCATCTATGGAAACGGCATGCTGAATGGATATATGCCATATTTAATATATGCCAAAACGTTTCAAAACAGGTAAGTGTACCGCGCAAACTAAAATATATATTAAATAGACCAACTCTTAATAAAATATACCGATCCTATATTCTTCCATTACTAGAATACTGTTGCGAGGTATGGATGGGTGTACTCTCGGTGACGCAGACAAACTAGAAAAACTTCAACTTGAGTCTGCACGGATAATCACGGGTCTACCCTCTTATTCTAGCAGAACATCTTTATACTCTGAAAGTGGATTCGAACCCTTATCTCAGAGGAGATCTAGGAGAAAACTTCAACTATTCTACAAAATTCACAATAATTTCACGCCAACATATCTTACTTCTCTACTGTCTCCTCTTGTCTCCGAAAATTCACAATACAACCTCCGTAATGCCGATAATTATTCTCTTCCTAATTTCCGACTTCAACTTTCAAACTCATCCTTTTTCCCTTCTACAATCCGACTTTGGAACCATTTAGACCTAGACATAAGACGCAGAGTTTCACATACAGCGTTTAAGAATTCTCTCCTAAATCTTCAAAATTTATATGTTCCAAAATATTATCTGATTGGTGATAGAAAACTTAACATTTAACATACCAGTTTAAGAAACAGAGCTAGTACCTTAAACAATGACCTATTCCATGCAAATCTAATAAATTTCCGACACTGTCAATGTGGTCATCCTGTAACAATTATGTACAACAAAGAATTAAATTATATCTTGAACTAAACTATTTCATTCCTCTGGACCTACAGCTGATACTTTTTGGTAGTTTGGAATTAAGCCAACAGGAAAATGAAATAATATTTCAACATACTCGGCAATATATTCTAGATTCACGTAGATTTTGATAAATAT